AGAAGAGGTATAGTTTTAGGTAAATTTAGTGGTGACTGAAGCTCTACTCGATTGCAATGCTTGAATTTTCGAATTGAACCCCTAAAACATTCGACTCTCCACATAAGGATAAGCACTTTTGAGTTTTGATGAATGAATTAAAGTTTTCAGTTGAAAAACACAAAAAATAGATGAAAGTTTCTACTTAAAACCCGAGAAACACCCAACAAGTTTCAGTCGTAATTAAAATAAGGGATAGAATTTTGAGTTTTGTTTGGCTTTCAGTGGCAAACAGAGCACAGTGAGAGGGCTAATTATGTAACTAACTAAAAAACTCAAATTTTAATGAAGAGTTGAAGACAATGAGAATATTGGCAACATCTCAAAGTTTACAAGCCATAATGTAATATTTGAGTTGACATTTCATGGCGGCTTCTTTGTTGCAAAAGCTTGCTTTTGGGATTTTATTTCTATCATGAGTTAGTACTAGTCTTGTCTCTCTTATTTAATAGCAATGGTATTAATGGAACTAGTATTCTATACTTTCAGAAGTATGTAGCTGTTCAAAATTTCAGCTTTCTTTACCTGGCAGTAAGAGCACAAAATACTTAAATCAAAGGTCGATTAGTGAACATCTACTGAGAGTTGCCCAATTTCAAGAGGTCACTGAAGTGCAATAATGATGTACCTTGCTTGTCTCTTGTCCTTCTCTTGTGCGTTAGTGTAGCATTGCCCTTTGGTTGCTCAATGTTTCCTGAATTCTGAAGCTTAGGAATGTGCTATGCATGAATCTTCAAACCATTAAGCTTCGTTAGCTTTGAAAATCTTGCAGTTCTATACAATCAATCTTATAAATTCTCATTCCTCTCATTAGATCAAGCACAAAAAAGTACATTAAAATTAAAATACATAATCAAATGTTATGTGAGCATTTCATTTCATTTGAAAGTAAGATCTATACTTCCACAATCTATAAAAATGTTTGTGGCACCAATTTGATTATCCAAGCAGTGCTGATAAAACAGATATCCTTATAATTTTTAAGTATTATTCAAAAGAATTTGATCAAGATATTCTATTTTTTTTGCTTTTTCATTAATTTTTTTTTTTTACAGAAAAATGATGGATCACAGAAGATTTCGGGGGATCAGCTTAAAGATGTGTACAAGTCATTTGTGTCAGAGTACCCGATTGTGTCAATTGAAGACCCATTTGACCAAGATGATTGGGTGCATTACGCCAAGCTAACTGGTGAAATCGGTGAACAAGTACAAATTGTGGGAGATGATCTATTGGTCACCAATCCCAAGGTAGAGTGGCTCCTTCTAATATGTATGTTTGTCTTTCTTATGCAGATATATTGACAAAGGTCAAGAACATAGACTTACTAGGCTAGTTGTATATAAATGCTTTTTCGGAAATTTTCGTTGTCTAATTTTTTAGCCTTCGTTCACAGAGAGTTGCGAAGGCAATCAAGGAGAAATCTTGCAATGCGTTGCTTCTTAAGGTATCATTGAATAATCTTCAGTTGATGTTTTTGTAAAACATTGGAACTTTCATCTCCATTATATACCAGAAATGCAATTGGATTGCCCTTTCATATGTTTTGTTTTGGCAACAACAGGTTAACCAAATTGGATCTGTAACTGAGAGCATTGAGGCTGTTAAAATGTCCAAGCAGGCTGGTTGGGGTGTGATGGCCAGCCACCGCAGGTGTGAAAATTAACTTGAAAACACAGTAGATGTCAATCTAATCCATCTTGTTGCACTATTTTTGAGAATTTCAGTCTCCAATGTTTTAATCTGAGTTGGTTATTGGGTTGCAGTGGAGAGACTGAGGACACTTTTATCGCTGATCTCTCTGTGGGCTTGGCCACGGTACTTCTTGATTTGGATCCTGGGGTTATTTGTAGGATGTTCCTTTTGATCATTTTACTGACATTGTTAATTCATCATTTTCCACTTGCCAGGGTCAAATTAAGACTGGAGCTCCATGCAGGTCGGAGCGTCTTGCAAAGTACAATCAGGTTGAGATTCTTGTCTTCTCACATGCACCAACTATTTTATTCTGATTTGGAATTCAAGAAAGTGTTATAACCTATAAGCATAGTTTTATTAAGCATTCCGTTGTTCTTTCATGGCATCCAGCTCTTGCGAATTGAAGAGGAACTTGGTTCGGAAGCAGTTTACGCTGGAGCAAGCTTCCGCGTGCCAGTTGAACCCTACTGATGAACTGATCCAGAGATGTTCGTAAAGAATTGAGTCTTTACTTGCAAGGAATAAGCATGGTCACTGGAGATCAGAGGCCTTTCTCTAATAATCACTGTTAAAAATTTTGTGCTAAGGTTTAAAAATCCCGAACCGAAGGTTTTTGAAGGCAGAGCATGTTTTTTAATCTAAGAATCGATGGATATGTTTTTATCTTATCAGGAAATGGGATGTTTGTTATTACAAACTTTTTAGTGATTTTGGTTTTGTGGAAGTTTGAGAAGTCTGTTTTAGGTTCCAGTGTTTGATGGCAGCTATAGGAGTAAGTATTCTCTCTTCAATCTCTCTTTTCATACTGATGAGTGGGCCATTATTTTTTCATAGTACTTGCGCCATGTTTCCTTATCTCCTGAAATTTGGCTTTATTATACATGGCCACGGAAGATCAAAAACTTTGAACATGTTTGTTCCATGTGACATCCCTATCAACGACTTCTATTAGGAGGAATACTCAATGCTTTCGTTCAAGATTTAAGATAAAATGGGGCGTTTGCCTCCACGTATAAAGACCTCTATGAGCACTTCGTCGATGAGAAATTCTTCTCAAATTAAGAGCAAGGGATAAAAATAAACGCCAATAAATGGAATATTGTAATATGTTTCCCCTTCTTTTTTTCTAGTAAATTTTATGACATATTAAATTGATGTCATCGGAATTGAATCGGACCAACTAGTTGAATCATGACTTAAAACGGTTTGGCTCTTTAGTTAGTTAGACAACACAAGGAATGGAATCATTGAAGAATCGAAAAATTGGCCAATTTATGCCAAAACCGATGAACTAAAATTTCTTAAAACCGGCCTTCATTTGCTCCGTCTCCTTCTAGATGAACAATAGCGAACACCACACTTTTGTCTTCTCCGTCTTCAACAATGGCGAACACCGTAGATCTAGATTTCAAATTGTTAGGAAATTTACACGAAATTTTTAAACTTGTGAAAAATAAAATTAGAGAAAACACACGACTTAAAAAAACAATCACATGCACAAGGATAGTATTTACGTGGTTCGACAATTTGTCTATATCCATGAAACTGCAGAAATTTCACTATTATTATGGATGAATAGAGTACGGTTATCCCTTCAAAACTATATCAAAAAACCTTAATCACAAAAATAAAGATTTTTATATATCATACGCACAGAGCTACAAAACAGGCCAAGTCTTCGCTCCATGAATTAAATCTTAAAAAATCTCCAATTAAAAACACGCAACATTATTTTGGGTCAAAATATCATCCAGATTAAACACAACAAGACTCCACAAAAGCCCAACATAAACACCAAAGATCTAGATCTCCTAAGTTGTGTAAGCCTTCTTCTTCTCCTCTCTCCCTCCACACAGACACCCCACAAAAATGAAGGAAAAAATGGCTTCTTGGGTCTTCTTTTTCTGTCTCTCTCATATGCTTGATGTGGCTTCCTTCTTTATTTCTTTTTTTTTCTTCTCTCTCTACACGCACGCACACACAGTCAATATTTTTTGGGCAGTCATACAATGAATATGAATAATTGAATATAAGTTAAATAGTTAATAGTTAATACACACACATTTAACAATCATTATATTTTATAATTTTTTATAAGTTATATATGAATAATTGAATATAAGTTAAATAGTTAATAGTTAAGCATTTATATTTTATATTTTTTTATTATACGACTAGTCCAACTAGTTACCTTAACAATTGAAGCAATGAACCAATAATTCAATCTCTTTGTCGATTCGATGGCCGGTCCGATTCTGATATAATATAAGGTTCTAGAGGGAAGAATGCACCTCTTTGGAATAGGTGAACTTGTTGAAGTTGACTAATTCACTCGATCAATTGTGAAAATGTGTACGAGATACCATAAGGGTCAATATCTCAATAACACATTTGTCTAAAACTTCTCAAGCTATCTAAGACAAGTTCCTCTAGTTCAATTATTGGTCTTGATTTAACTTATTATTATAAAAACAATTCACTCTCTAAATGAAAAGACAATTAATTATCTACCTAAGAAGATAAAGAGCCCCACATACGAGAAAGAGGTCACAAATAAAGTTAAACTAAGTAACATTGCAAAGGCATAATGATAGTAAGATTGGAGTATCCCCACCCTCTGAATCGGACGTGAAGGTTTCACCTCGGATTCAAATGATTTCTTGTCTTTTCTTACAATATTTCTTGTTAAGTCTTGATCAAGAGATCAATTGAGTCTTATATATAAAGTAACAAGACTAGAACCTTATGTAGATTGTGAACCAACAAAAAAAAAAAAAGTCTTTGAGCACTAGGGCTTCATAAATCCTTTCTTTCATTAATCAATAGGACTCTAGCCAGTTATTTATTTTACTTGAAGTTAGCGGTTAACTTAATGTCTACTATCTCATTATTAGATCTTAAGGTCACGGCTTTGAACCTTGTTGTCTTTTTTCCATTTAATAGTGTTTGCCAACAAAAAACAAAGGAGAAAAAAGTACTTGCTTTAACTAAAAAGTATCGAAGTGTGTATAACTATTTAAAAAAGTCTAAACTTGCTGGCTATGGGGTTCGAACCCATGCGCACTTATGTGCAGAAGATCTTAAGTCTTCCCCCTTAACCTCTCGGGCAAACCAGCTTTGGATTCTTGAAGGGCTGAAAGAATATATATATAGATATATATCATAATTTACGTAAATGACTTTTTGCCCTTGACGGTGCCCTCTTTTAACAAATTTCTGTCGTATATAAGCCCCAAATCAATCGGAGCTCAGAAACCCTAGATCGCGAACACAGAGACTGCGTGAGACCTTGAATTGGATCGATTCAAATGGCGGAGCACTTAGCTTCGATCTTCGGAACGGAAAAGGACAGAGTGAACTGTCCTTTCTACTTCAAGATCGGTGCGTGCAGGCATGGAGATCGATGCTCGAGACTCCACACCAAGCCTAGCATCAGCCCAACTCTCTTGCTTTCCAACATGTATCAGCGTCCTGATATGATCACTCCCGGCGTCGATCCTCAAGGCCAGCCTCTCGATCCTGAAAAGATTCAATCCCATTTCGAGGTCTATATCCATACAAACCATTCTCTCTATCTATATGAAACTTTGTTTAGGGTAGCTGAGTATTGTTTTTGTTGTTTATTGATTGGAACACAGTGCTTTTAAATTGATTTTGTGCTTATTCTAGAAATAGTTATTTGGTTACCTGATGAATTCGTTTTGATACTATAGTTTTTCATCTCTTTGTTTGTTTGCGGAAAATCTTTTGACAAATATAAGAAGGGAATTTGTTAGCCTTGATAATAATTAAAATACTCTGGGGTTTGAAACTTGAGTTCTTTTGCAAGTAGTGCGCAGGGTTACTTGCACCCAGTATCCCCCCGGATATTCTGGGTTATACGTAGCTTCTTGGCTGTCTTATTAGCAAATTAGAGTATTTACAGAGATTGATGTTGAAGTTATTGTGCTTTGAAGGGGTCATGATATTGACCAAAAAAAAAGGGGGGGGGGTCATGATCATTATTCCCTCTATTTTTTGTGCAACACTCTGGATTTGAGACTTCAGTTTTGTGCAAGTGGTGCACAAGATTACTTGTACCCCTAATCTGTTAGGTTACTCTTGGTAATTCGTAACTTTTTGGCTGTCTTATTAGCAATCAGAGTATTTATGGAATTTGATTTTGAAGTTATTGGAATTTGAAGAGATCATCCTCATTGTTCTCTCTATATTTTGTGCACAATTATTTCTATACCACTTTGCAGAATTGAGAGCCTTGTATCTTTTGTAATTTCTGGTCCACAGGGGGTTATATGGCTATGGATAGATTGTTTTTGAACTCTTTCTAATTCCTAAAAGTTTGGAGAAAGCAACTGCTTTTTATCTGGTCTGAAGTGCAACAGTTGTATCAAAATGCAGGATTTTTATGAAGATTTGTTTGAGGAGCTGAGCAAGTATGGAGAGATTGAGAGCCTGAACATATGTGATAATCTGGCTGACCACATGGTATATCTTCCTTTATTTTGTCTGTTTTTTCAGATTTGTTCATTTAATTGTGTGTTACATGCGAATTTCTTCTATTTGGAGCAGGTGGGTAATGTGTACGCCCAGTTTAGAGAGGAGGAACATGCTGCTACTGCACTTCAGAATCTGACTGGAAGATTCTATGCGGGTTAGTACTGCATATTTACATGCAGGCACAGTCGCACAAGTATATGCATGACTGTTCAGACGTATACTTGCAGATTTGTACTGGCTTCTCTTCCCGAATATTTTGAGTCAAATATTGTTATGAGGGCACGATTGTTGATTTATAATTGAAATATAATTTCTTGCCAGCATGATAGTTTAAATTAGGCATTGCTATACTGGGACAACGTGATTTATTATATGTATTATTAATTATTGACAATGGATGCATATGTGACGGAGTTTGAGCTAGAAATAGTGAAAAATGAAAATTGGATTTGTTTCTGCTGCTGGTAACTCCTATTTGGATCTGATGGCAGGATTTCTCGTATTGTCTTTGTTATTTTAGATAAGATTTCAAACTTGTTGCCGTCATGAAGATGAAGATAGTTCACTAGGAATATGACCCACGACCATCACCTTTCTTGATGCAGTAAAAACTAATAAAACATCCCTGTGCCTTCGTGTATGGCTGTTCCTATTTTGTTCAATTTAGAAGTGCAATAAAGATAATCGGCCGTCCAAATGGAATCTGGGTGAGGCATTGATGTAGATGTTATGACAGCCTGTTATTTAGCTGAATATGCAGTTCTGGATGTGGATAGAATTGTGATATGGAATTCATTAGTTTTTTGTTGGGACAATTGTAGAAAATCCAGAGTTGTATTCAGAGTCGTTGAAGTCATTGATGTTCGTCTTCAGCATATTCGAAGTCATTGATGTTTGCCTTCAGCATATATCATGCATGACATATGTGTTATTTTTCACACTTAAAACAAATGGAGCTTGATAAAATAGCGAATTGTGGAAGTTAGTAGGCATGCAACCATGTGAATGATGCTAATTACAGTATGTTTTCTCATGGAACAAACCTGCTAACACAGAGGACTTAGTTATTGCAGGAAGTGTGACTGAGTATCCAAGATCTTATTGATCTCTTACATGTTCACTGGGTTGAATTCCTCAGTTGCTAATAATTAACAGTTCTCGGTGATAACAGTTATAATAGTGATGTAACGATAAAGATATATTGTTAGTTGCAACCATCTCACCCTCTGAAAATTGAAATCTGTAGGGCGCCCCATTATCATTGACTTCTCTCCGGTGACCGATTTTCGTGAAGCTACTTGTAGGCAGTATGAGGAAAATGTGTGCAATCGAGGTGGCTACTGCAACTTCATGCATCTGAAAAAGATAAGCAGGTGAGTTTCAGAGTATAATTCCTTCCTCATTTATCTGTTATGCATCTTTCTTAACTACTGTATAAGATGGTGAGTGATGCATTTGCGTTCTCCTATTTAGAGAGCTGAGGCGGCAGTTATTTGGGAGGAATAGGCGATGGCGCAGCCGCAGCAGGAGCAAAAGTCATAGTCCTCATCGCCGTCGCAATTATGAGGAGCGTCCACATGGTGGCCGTGGTTTTGGTAGAAGAGGTGGTGATGTCAGAGATCATCGCCACCATGATAGGGGTAGGAGACCAAGAAGCAGGAGTCCTGGACGTAAGGGTGGACGAAGCAGAAGTCCTGGGGGAAGGAGAAATAGGAGTCCAGTCAGGGAAGGCAGTGCTGAGAGAAGGGCAAAAATTGAGCAATGGAATAGGGAAAGGGAACAGGGAGAATCTGCCAACAAGAATGATGCTATTAGTAACCATGATAGCCCTAACAATGCCATTGTGCAGAATGGAGAGCAGTCCTATGATGATCCGCAGTACCAGCAGGAGCATGGACGTTATACCTGATCCAAGTGGCATTGTTGGGTTTGTTCTCTTGCCCTTCTTTGATAGAAAATGTTCTTTGTTAATTTTAAAAGTAAAATGCAAGTTTCCTTTGCAAAAACAGCCCATTTGGAAAATTTGGCTTACTGCCCACTTTCCACTGTGCAGGTGGAGTACAGGTCCACTATCCCATGATAATGAAAAATGCCAAAAAAAAAACCCTTTTTCTTCCTTTCTTCCACCCATTCTTTTAAGGAACTGAAAATGGATTTAGCGAGAGTAGATAGGGCCAAGCCTACTTAGCACCTGAATGCATGCATCGTGACCCTCACAGTTTTTAAACTCATTTTCTGCTCCATTGTTCACCTTTTTCTAAGTGACTGCAGTTTTTGTTCTTCTAAGTGATATATTTTTTCTATTGTCCTCTGATCTTGTAACTCATGCTTATGTTTATTCCAGAACTTCTTGTAAACGTTGTCAAGAGTCTAGTTTTCAAAATGCAGCATCTTAAAATTACATGGGTCAAATGTTGCCATTTTTTACGAAAGTTTTATACTCTGCAAAAATCTTGACATGAACTGAGAGTGCATGCTATGTAGCGTATTGATGAGGATAAATTGCTTCTGGAGCATGGTGGGAAGAATATTCATTAGTTGGGGTTACTTTTAACATCTTTAGTTTGGTAAGCCACTCTTTTACCAGTAAAAAACACAGTACGTATTTGTTTCACAAGGATTTTTAAGCCGAAATATTTTACAACCTGAGTTTCTTTTCCAGCTATTTCAGTTTCATAGGAGCATGGAGATAAGAGTTCTCAGATATTTTCATGTGAAATAGTGTGAATATCTTTGTTAGCAGCCATTTCGAGACCAAGTAACGATACAGTAAAATGATAGGGGAGTTGATAATCCATTCGGACAAGATAAGAATGAGTTTTTATTTCACCATTATTACAGTTTCTTTTGTAGGCATTTGTGAACTTAACACATTTTTACAAGTTTTGCAGGTTCAGGTATTCCTGCTTCCAGGGATCGAGCCTCATTTTTTTATGGCAGCTCACAATCATATTTGTATACAGGTCGGCTGTCTTATCTGCAGAGCAAGTTTACAGGATTTAAATGCTACGTGGTGGAAGAACTGAAGGAAGCCGCCTAACAAAGTAGACAAAGTTTATTTGCTAGAGTGATGTTTTGTGCCAGGCCTTTGTTCTGGAGAACAGGTTTTATTGTGTGCACCATGTGTCGTGTTTATGTTTTTCTAAACAAACTGTAGTTTAAAAATTAGGAGGAAATGCAATGGATGTTTTGTATTTTTGTTGAGATTGCATTTATGTCAGTTGTGCAAATATGCTGTAGGCATAATAACAATGTGTAGGCCAGCCTCCTGATATTTTGAGGGCTAATTGCTGCTTGTGGAATGGGAAAGGCCGTCCTGAAATATATGGCCAAAATGAGCAGGTGTGTACTAATAGCCCAACCCTTAGAACATAATAGTTTCAGGTTGTGAAGAGCTGATAACGAGGTGTTAAACCTTTCCATTGATATAAGCTCTTTGGAAGATTAGTCCATTATACAAGTAACTTTTATTTGTTGAGTGACGGCCCTTTCACCTGGCACTGTTGGTCACTAAGGCCGACATTTGTCTTTGCTCGACGGATGGGTCTTATAGTCTGCACGCGAGGGCCAATCTTCGTTCGGCCTGGGTCTCAGAGTCTGCACTCAAGGGCCAATATTTGTTCGGCCCGAATGGTATCTAATTGATGGCTGTCGTATTGACTTTGTGATGTGCACCTCTCTATTTGTTGGTGCAATTTGGTAATACCATAGTTTTCAGTTGATATTAAGTTGTACCGTCCATAGTTCTACCCTCATTAACCTTCTTAGAGATAAGTTCGCTTAAATACCATACTCTTTCCCACAGTGACATGTCTTAGCACCAAGTTATCTTCTCTTTCTCGAACGTACGTATTTCCATATATGTGACTTTTAAATCCATCCACCAAGCCAAGTGGTCCAACGGCACTTAACGCCCTTTCAAGGGTCTTGGCTGAGCTATTAATGTTTTGTTTGGTAGGAAAGATGGAAAGTAAGAAGGATGAAAAGTGAGAGAGATACATTTTATATCTTTTAAGGATAGAAAGTAGGAGGGATAAATTTTTTATTTTTTAAGAATAAAAAGTAGGAATGATACACAATCCTGTCTGTGTTTGGTTGGACTGATCGAAAATAAAAATGGCCAAATTTTTTTTTAATTTTTTTCTCTAATATTAAGAGTGACAATCGAGTTGTATTATGTCAGATTTGTGTTGAGTTATAAAATTATAAGTCTTTTATATTTTTTGTTTGCGTATCAGATCATTTTTAAGTTCATGTCGAGTTATAATCAAGTTCGTATCATAAAATTCGTGTCAAGTTCGAGTTGTGTAATCGTGTTAAGATGAAAACAAATATATATTTTTAATTAAAATAAAAATTTTAAATTTGATTAATTTTAATTTTTTTAATTATATATATATATATATATATATATATATATATATATATATATATATATATATATTATCATTATATTGTTATATGAAATTAATGTATACATAATAAATAGACAAATAAGATACATATCAACACGAATAATTAACTTTTCATCCACTTTCCTTCCGATTTTGGAAGGATTGATTTTTGTGAGTTAAAAAAAAAGTTAATCCATCCATTTTTACATCCTTACCAAACATGATATTTTATTTATCCTTCCAATTTTCTATCCTTCTATTTTTTCATCATATCAAATAGAGCATAAAGTTTGTCTCATATCTGATTTACGGGCAATAGAGGATTGTATTTGATAGTTTAGTGGAGCTGGGCCTAGTTAAGGTCGTTCTTAAGAAGTGCTTGTGAGTTCTTTTTATTTAGTCGCACCTTGGAAGGAATTTCACATGTAGTGATCCCCCTTCTATCCTTCTTTCACAAGCCAAAAAAAAAACCATTCTATTCAAGACTGGATGAAGACTGAAGCGTTCTCCCATGAGTGAATTATTGAATTATATGCAGTGTCGTACGTATCACACTCGATAGGGATTAGATGATTTCCTATTAGAAGAATGCAAATTTTATGCATCAAGTGCCCATCCTTTATCAAAGCTGACTAGCCGTCTTATGAGATCGTAACCACTGGCAATGGCCGGGCGGGGGTGGATCCATAACCTTTCTTATAACCAATCATTTTGTCATCTAATTAACTAAACTGCCCTATCCAATCCTTTGTAATTGCATAGATTAGGGATAGAAAAGTCATTTTACCATTATATCCTAGGTTGATTGATTTCAAACCCACCCCCAAGAATTAAATTGTCTAGGTCGGTTAGGTGTCGGGATATGAATCTCAAGTTTAAACTTTTTAACCAAATATGGGATTAAGTGGTATATCAAACTATTTTACTTAGACATACCCTTCTAAATCCACCCAAACCAATCAAACAAACAAACAATCCCTTATTATTGTAAGCTTGATGTTGACTTAGGAAAGGTATAGTTAATCTGTGGGTCACATATAATTAAAAAACAATCCTCCTACCCAAAACCATCCAAATATGCCCGAAGAGTCTATACAGTTGGCAATAGGTAGATCAGTATCCACCTGAACCGGGTTGCCTAAAGCAAGCTTAGCAACCTTTTGTGCGGGTCAGTAAATTTACAGGAGGTCCATGAGGCAACAATAATGGGGTGGGGATAGTCATTTTGAAATGTAATTTAATTTCTAAGAAAAACATGTTTGGAATTTAGATCTTCTCTAATAAGTTTTTCTTAATTTTGTTAAATAATAAATGATCACTCATAAATAAAAGTTGAAATCATGATATAGGACTGACTCCATCAAGAGAATGAAAAAAACCTGCATCTCAGCTTACCCATTATTTGATAAGACTAAAGTCTGATTATTCTGGAACAACTATAACGGTCAACCAAATATGTGATGATCAAATGCAGTTTTTCCTTAATTTATTTTAATCATAAATCATCTCCAACGAATTCAAGTAATTGTTTATACTTAAATTAGCAAAATCTAAGACTAATACATGAAAATGATCTAACGTTCAACAGAGAGTCAGTGATAATCTAAGTCTAACAGGACAATCAAGGAAGTGACACTTTAAAAATCCCAAAAAACGAAAAACGTAACATTATGAACCATCGTCTAGAGATGGTTCGGTGCACGTCTATATATCTTGAGAGAAGAGAACATGATTACACTTATGGCTCAAAAATATGACTTCAGCAGTTATGGGATATCTCCTATAGATAACAAAGCAAGACCATCAACTCTACATAAAACCATCCTCTCTTTCTTTAACTTAGTTTATTTCTTAACAAATTTACTTCAACCTGTAATCTATCACTCCATCCTCTCTTTCTTTAACTTAGTTTCTTTCTTAACAAATTTACTTCAACCTGTAATCTATCACTCTAGTGATTTTCTTTTCCGTTTAATGTGAAATACAATAATCTTTTCATCTACCAAGTTTAGTCTCTCTAGTACATTACATTTTAGTTGTTGTCTTTATACATTCTAATCTATTACATTATCAATTGAAAATTATTTAAATCCTTAATCCCCAAAGCATAGAAAAGAACTGAGACAAACTTACATCTTGTGCCTGAACAATCATAATTTAAAAACTCCACACCGATTCAAGTAGGTAAAATTGTACTTGCTTAGATCTTAAATCTAATCAAACTTAGTCACGCAATTCAAAAATACACCAAACAGTAACTTTATACAAATAAGATTCACTACTTATAAGTTGATCTCTCAACCATACCAGTGCACAGTGTACCAAAAAAAAAAAAAAAATTTAACGGAGGTGTACCAAAAAACGATCTGAATCTGTATTTCCATCAACCAACCCCTCTTGATTCCACAAGCGATAATGTCATACAATACCTTCACTTCATCATGATAGTACCTTGGCTCCATCATTCTATTTCTATCATCTCATATATACTCTTTACATAACTAACTATAGTACTACTATAAGGAGGCCGAAGTCACTCAAAATCTAACATTTGGAACAACAGGAATAACGCAAAGTCAAACATAGAGGGATAACTACTATCAATTATATTGCCAATTAATGATTCAAACATCCAGACGGAAAAAAAATAAAATTAATCCAACCCTGGTGAATTTAACTGAAGTAAAACCTAAAGCAAGTTGACATAGAAGTCAAAGGGGAACATAAAGTAATAACTAACAAACAACGTCATGATTTTACATTGTGCTCAACCACTACAAACCAACTACAAAACTAGCCTTCAATTCATACGAAGCATGGTGACAAAATTGAAGCAGGACTTCCAAATTTCTTTTCAAATACCTATTACTTTCCAGCCGAGTGCTTAGCCTTCGTATGGGATTCTAGTGCTTTTTCCGTACCAAATGTCCTGCAAGGAAAAGGTTGAGCTCCATAGTTTCTATAACATTTTAGAAAGAACAAAAAGAACCAAGAGAGATACATACTTGCTGCAAGACTTGCAGGAAACTACATCACTCGATTTTGGAGTCTGCTGATTTGACTTCATCGCAGGAGTTTTATCAGCCTGTTTTGAAGGGTGAGGTGTAGCTACATGAGCAACTTTCTTCCCATCTGCACCAACAACAGGTAATACTCAATCCCACCAAAAACAAACACCACTAGCATTGACAACTACAACTTCAACTGTAGTCCATAAATATTGTTTACAAACCATTTGACATAAATTTATGAGCACAATCAATCATACCAAACATATTCTTTTCAAGTACAATAAATTAACGTGTCAGTGCCCCCACATATTTAATTAACGACTTGGTGTGATACACAGTCTACCAGAATCATCAACTAAAATACCAGAGCATGGAAAGTAAAAGAAGACAGGAGGAGCAGGTCACTACTCGCTGTGAAAGGGCGGTGCTAGTTTATAGTATTGGGATGAGAAAATTCCAACGGGAACAGAAGAAAAGTGGGAGGGGGTGGAGTGGTGGAAGATTAGAAAATTCAAGTTTAATTAAAGGTGGGAAAATAATAATAGCAGAAAACATGAAAATCACCAGTTTTTTGAGGAGTATTCATTTTCGCCTTTTTATCAGGACCAGGTGTCTTGGTAGCCGATTCTGCAGTTCTCTTCTTGCCAAGTTCAACCTTCAGAAGAAACAAATATAACTTAACCATGACAAAGTGTAGAGAAGTATCAACATACCCATGCCCAATGAAATGCAAAAGGTTAGAAGACAGATGTTGCACGGTCACACTTACCTTTTTTGGTGTCTCCTCATCCTCTTCATCGCTTTCATCTTCACCCTCAGAGTCACTCTCATCATCCTGAACCAAAGACCACCAGACAATTAGCTACTTTTAGACAAGGGGTTATGTCAAATAGCATATCTTGCAGTTCCATCAAGCACCACAAATCCAACTAGAATTAAATTTTACAACTTCACAACCTAAATGCAAAAAGCATTTCTTTCCAATTTCACTGGGCATTTAACAGAGAATGACAAGTGTCATCATGGTTTTAGATCATTTAGGGAACAAAATATTTAAATAATTCATTTCAATTCCCCCCATTTTGGCACACAAATCACATACATGAACCAATATGACAGCAAAAATAATAACTAATAAAAAATAATTCATGGACCTGCTGCTATAAACATGTTTCCTGATAATCCTTACCAGCACTAAATCATTTCCAGAAAAGTGAGTTAAATTCAAGTACTTCACAGGCACCGTCATGGAAAGAGCTGGGAAAAAAATTGTTTTTTTTTATTTTGGGAGGGGGGAGGGGGGGTGTTCAGAAGACGCACCTACTAGAGACTAATAAGGGGTTTTCCAAATCCAGATGACGAACAAGATATTTTAGACCACAATCTTAGGTAGAATCGTAAATGTGTTAGCATAAAACACTTTTCATATACTAGCAGTAAAAAAGAATTAATTATTTTCTCCATCCTATGCAATACAAAACTATGACAAATAGGGGTTAACCAATTTCAAACATCACCAAATGAAGATAGTGGATTTAGGTGGTAAAAACAAGCCCAAGTGGGCAATCCTAATCACTAATAACTTTACAAATTACAATTAACTTCCTTCATTTGTATGACTCTACTACATTAACATCTTATAAGAAGTACATCACCCAAAAAGAACATTTCAGGTCAGATAAAAAGAATAACACAATCACACTAGTAACTTCACAAATTCAGAGTGTCCACTTCTTGAAGTAAAAACCATAACAGGCTCAAACAACTGTCAAATGCTTATTCCAGATGCAATTATGCAAAACTCTCAAGTAAAATGCTAAGCAAAGACAAAACAGAAAGGTAAAAAACTGTGGTTAGAATGTACCTCATCCGATCCCAAATCATCCATCGAGGCATCCTCATCACTGCTATCATCATCTTCCTCGGGTTTCACAAATTTATTTGGCTCCACAATCTTCACCTTCTGCTTACCAGCAGCAGAATCCTTCACAGCATTAGCCTTCTCAGTTGCGTTAGGTTTGTTTTGCTTAACCGGAGCCTCAGGCTTTCCTAAGAAGTCAAATATGAAAATATGAATCAGAGTTCAAGAAATTCGGAGGATATAATGCAATAAATTTATACAGATAAGAAAGAAAAAGAAACTGTACAAATTATACCATTGTTTGCAACAGGGAGAGGAAGCTCATCTTCAGAATCAGACTCTGGGAGTAACATAGGGTAATTTCAGCGCACTGGCAAATAACAAGACGTCACAAAAAGAATTCAAAGAATTAAAGGCTTACAAACTTACCAAAACTGTCATCCTCAGAAGTGACATTCCAAAAGGAAGGAAGTCAAGGAAGGCCACAGCAAACATAAGTAAACAACAACTAATTTGTACGCCAGTAAAGACCAGGGGGAAAAAGAAGTGGTAACATATAGAACACAAACAAAAGACAGAGATGAAAAACAGAAACATAAAGGATATTCATCAACAGCATTGTTAAGTTTATATCCATAAAAGTAGACACTCCCATTTTTCCAGTTGTGGGATAGCTCAAAATCTCTATCAAAAACCAAGTCAAATTGCTGCTGAGGTAACTTGTCCGAAAAAAGTGTTCCGAGAACAAGCTTCTTGCCATCAACATTCACAAAGAGGCTAACAGATTCATTTCCTTTCGTTCCCTTGACCTCCCCAAGAGATGCCTACAGGAGAGTGCATCATAAATATAGTTCACCACAGTCATAAGTATACATTGCGTAAGAAATAAATAAATTTCTTCAAAGGAAGTTATAGGCCCTTTACTATACCTGCGAAAGATGCAAAACTATCCCTTCCCCGGCCTCTACCGGAAGTTGCTGTCCACTTTTGACCTCAGCACCTGGACATAACATGTTAAGAGAGATTCAAGTTTCAATAATGTAAACTCGGAAGATATCAACTTAAAATAGGTACCACGACACAAACTGAAATAAAAGAACAGAAACAACAGCAAAAGTGAATAACGTTTACCAATCATTACTGATACATGTGTGTTAACAATCCATATATATATTTCTCAGAAACTCTTAACGTAAAAGTGAAGAACTTTCAAGACTAGATTTCTCATATTGATATTAATGTCGCTTTCTATCACACAAATGGCATATGATGGATGACCTTATAAGCATCATCTTCATCTCAAAATTCATCTGAACAATCATTTAAAATTCCAGTCATCATCGATTTCTCAGGCCCATTAAGCAAATATACTTAACGAGTGACTACTTATTAGATATCACATCCTCCTCAAACTCTAGCCAGACCTCAAAAAATAACTACAAACAAATAAATATACAAATAATATATATGTATATGTATGTAGATTTGTAACATATGAACACTAAAAGCCGAATCAAAATCAAACCACTAATCATTAACACTGTAACATCAAGAAATGAAAGAACGGCGTTGTAACACAGTACACGCACAAAATAAGAAAAATACACTAAAACAGAGAGGTAGTGGAGAAATCTTGAGTATTACCCCAAAACTCCATTGTTTGATGAGAGAGATAGAGAGGCTAGGGTTTTAGGAGAGGCAGAGCGAGTGGTGGAAGGGTTAGGGTTGGAGGAGGAGCGTATGCATATATAAAGGTAGGGGCGAGGTGGAGCCGTGATATTATGTTGGCGGTCTCACCATAATTCAAAGTGGCATTTGAGCATAAATCCTAAAAATCCCATATAGTATAAATAAAATAAATAGTATTCTCATTTTAATAAACTAGTTGATACACACACGTGGATCATTTTACATATCGAATATTGTAAATTGAAGCCCCACACCACTTTCTCCGAAACGCACATTTTAGTAAAAATCGGTAATTATAATCAGTTAATAATAAAGTTTTACAAGAAAATTGCAAAAATTATAGATTAAAATAAAGTTATTTTATCCTCGTGTATAACAATATAGATGAAGTTTGTAACATGCTAATGAACCCATACACATGTTTATCCACATAATAAAAAATAATTACGACAAAAGCTCCGTATATGAGGTATATACTAAGTTTGTAGCATTCTCACAAGAGACATTGTGAACCAATGACATATATAGTCATTGAAACAGAGCTATCTTTGAGTCAATATACACTCATGTTGTTCAATTTAAGAATCTCTAACAACCCCACACAAAAGGCAAACAAATTTAAATGTTTTATTCCTTTCATCAAAATAACAATTTGCTTAACAATTTTTGGGCAAGTGTAAACGCCAATTAATTAGGACTACGTGTACTTGATATATTAACTCGTTAATTCCAGTATGTCTGGCCATTTCTTAAAAAAATTAATGCACTAAGCACCAACCAGATGATGATCGGAAGAATCTGTGTTCATATCTTTTTTTTTCTTTGGTACTAATTTTATGATTATCCAATTACTTAATCCATCTATAATGACTTCGTCAAATCACTGATTTAAAAAGTTATAAAATATTCATAGTTGATATGCAACAGAAGAGTGATTCATTGAAATTTGCATTCACCGCCGCATACTACCGCTTGTGGTTTTCAATCAGAGAAGGCAAAGGGAAAAGATGTTCAAAAAATCCATCTCTAACTCAACTAGAAAAATATATTTAGAAAGAATTTTTACCTCAAAAATTCTTGATTGATTTTCTACCCTTGGAAAAATATGGGTATGAAAGCCACATACATACGAAAGATCCCAACCTCGGAATTACTTTGATCAACAGAAATTATCATATAGAGTGTGCTTCCATCATTTATAAATTGTATTGTTAAGCAATCAAGTGAGCTATCCTTAGCAAATGAACTAAATTGAGCCCCCCTGTTCCCTCCAACTAAGAAAGTATGCATATTCTTTTGTGCATATCTCCAAGAAGAATGAACTTAACCTACAAAATTAAATGGCATTACCAAGCACCAAAATTTGTACATGCACAAGCACATAGTTTTGAACCTATGAAACACGGATACGATACATTTTGTATACTTGAGAATTCGTAATGACAAAATAAATAGATACTTAGCGGACACTTCAATATAAGAGTAATATGCATAATTTTTAAATTTAATCTTTATCATCTCCTTTCAAATTTACATATAATACAATACATCAACAGAAAATCATACAACGTCAGAAACACATGGATGTTTTCATTATCTACAATTACAAGTCAAAATAGTATAAATGAATTTATTATACTATAATTTTAGCAACAAATACTTCTAATTAAAACAATGAAGTAAAAATTTATTTACTTAGTCACTTCCACTTTGA